ACTATTCCTGTATCGCGATATTCTGAGAGGTCGAGTTATAGGTTGTGTGGGGATTAACCCAAAATATGGAGACCTTAAGGAGTTGTGACTCTGAGTCAGTGGGGTGACGTGGAGGGTTGTGACTCTGAGTCAATGGGGGGGACGGGGACGTTGAGGGTTCTCAGTCTGATTCAATAGAGTGACCTTAAGGGTTCTGAGTTCCATAACAACCAACAATCGCTAGAGCTGCCATAAAAACCAACGATAACTAGAGCTGCCATAACAGCCAACAATATCTACAGCTACAATAACAACTAACAATAACTAGAGCTACCATAACAACCAACAATCACTAGAGCTACAATAACAACCAACAATCACTAGAGCTACAATAGCAACCAACAATCACTAGAGCTACGATAACAACCAACAATAACTAGAGCTGCCATAATAATACCCAGCATTAACTAGAACTGCCATAACAACCAACAATCACTAGAGCTACGATAACAACCAACAATAACTAGAGCTGTCATAATAAAACCCAGCATTAACTAGAACTGCCATAACAACCAACAATCACTAGAGCTACAATAACAACCAACAATCACTAGAGCTACAATAACAACCAACAATAACTAGAGCTGCCATAATAATACCCAGCATTAACTAGAACTGCCATAACAACCAACAATCACTAGAGCTACAATAACAACCAACAATAACTAGAGCTGCCATAATAATACCCAGCATTAACTAGAACTGCCATAACAACCAACAATCACTAGAGCTACAATAACAACCAACTACGACAAAGAACCCCACCACGACAAAGAACCCCACCACGACAAAGAACCCCACCACGACAAAGAACCCCACCACGACAAAGAACCCCACCACGACAAAGAACCCCACCACGACAAAGAACCCCACCATGACAAAGAACCCCACCACGACAAAGAACCCCACCACGACAAAGAAACAAATGAAGAAACAAACAAATAAAACAAAACAAACCCCACTCAGTTAAAATTTATTTTTAAAAAAAAATAAATCTGATCAAATTACTATTTTTTGAAAATTAAGAATAACAGTATTTAAAAAGTCCCGAGACCTACTTATTTTAACATTTTGGTTGATTTGTATTCGAAAACATTTAAAAGTTTGGATATTTTTTTTCTTAATTGTCTATATTTTTGCAAATGCTTCGGTCCGTGTGTCAGTCGCTGTATAAATATATATATATATATATATATATACATACATACATATATATATATATATAATCTTGTCTTAGTATTCAAGCGTTTTAGAAGTAATCTTTCCACTACATCAGGTATTATAATATCACATTAAAAACAAATTTTTTCGTTCTTCATTTTTTTTTCCCCCCGAAACTCAAATTGTGTGTCTATATTTAGAACAATTCCTGAGTGTGTCCTACATCCCATGAGATCACCCTATTTAAAGCCATCATAGGATAAGGACCATTTTTATTATTATTTTAATACAGATTTTCTTTTTTTTTTTTTAAGTAAGGATGTCTCCGGGAATCGTTATTTCAACCGTCTGCAAATACCTCCCGGGGTTTGGGTCAAACATCGAATGGACCAGACGAACAAAGGAGCACGTGCGTTCAGAAATTGGTTAAAGGGGGGTGAGGGGGCGGGTGCGATGGGGGAAAACG